CATACCGTAGAGGGAAATAAAGGTAAAGGTACCCCTGCCCGTACGGGCCAGTCTTGACAGACTCTGGGGTTGTGCGCCCATCTCACTCTAGAGGCCGGGGGCCAGCGCTGTCCGCAGACACTTCCGGGTCACGTGGCCAGCGTGACAAAGCTGCATCTGGCGAGCCAGCGCAGCACACGGAACGCCGTTTACCTTCCCACCAGTAAGCTGTCCCTATTTATCTACTTGCACCTGGGAGTGCTTTCGAACTGCTAGGTTGGCAGGCGCTGGGACCGAGCAGCGGAAGCGCACCCCGCTGCAGGGATTCGAACCACAGACCTTTCGATCGGCAAGCCCTAGGCGCTGAGGCTTTTACCCACAGCGCCACCCGCGTCGCACTCCCGTAGAGGGAAAATGACAGGTAAATGGAGCTTGACAACCTGGGAAAGTAGCCCATCTAGGAAAGGGAAAACTCTGATCCCAAACCTCTGCTGCCTTGCGGGATATCTTCAGGAGAAGAAAAAACCAAGAAGTGAATCCTAAACAAATCCAGAGAAGAGTCCCTAAGACAGTTGGATGGTGCCTTGTATGCCTCCTTCTGGCAACTCCTGCAGCTAAGCTGGTGCCTAATGTATTGCTTTCCTTTCCTTACCACATCAGGGTGGCCGAGATGGGGTGGGTCTTGTCTTCTGGGCAGTGCAGGACCTCCATACACACTGCCCAGGCTTGCACCCTAGGGAGGTCACTTCGGTGCTAATTCAGCAAAAAACAATGTGGGAGGCAGCAGTTATGAGTTACTGGTCTCTGCAGCCACTGTGATTCTCCAGCAGTTTCACTTCATCCCCAGAGGTGCACTCCATTGTCTCTTGAGACAGATGGAGGCCAACAACAACTTTTTGTTACACACTTTGACGTTTTGTTACACTCTTGTGAAATAAATGAAATAAATATATCACCACAGGAGCAAGATCACATATAGAAATTCCTTGCTCTGAGCAAGGGAAGACTCACCTGAGTAACCAGTTATGTCCATCGCTTTGAGATTCCTGCATTTAATGACTGTTAAAGTGAGGCGACCTGCAGTTGGCAGATAACAAAGGGAAAACATGATCTCCCCCAGGTCCACGCTTTCCTTTAATGAAAGAGAAAACACAGAGCATTAGAAATGGCTAAGAAGCAAACGTAGCCAGGGCCGGCCCATCCATGAGGCAAGCTGAGGTAACCACCTCGGGCTGCAGGATCCACAAAAGCAGCTGATCCTGATGTAGATCTTTATTTTCCCCTCCCCTTGTTCGGGATATAGATCTTCACTCATCCCTTCTTCCCTAGTGGGGAGGGGAGTGCCATTTTGTGGTTTGCCTCAGGTGCCAAAATGTCATGGCCTGAACACAACAACAACAACAACAATTTATTATTTCTACCCCGCCCGTCTCGCTGGGTTTCCCCAGCCACTCTGGGCGGCTTCCAACAAAATATTAAAATACAACAGTCCATTAAACATTAAAAGCTTCCCAAACAGGGCTGCCTTCAGATGTCTTCTAAACGTCTGGTAGACCAATATTTTTCTCCTTTGCATTTTCTCTCTATCTTTTCTAGATCCCTTTAACTCCCACCTCCCCCAAGGCAAGGCAAGGCAAGAGGAAGCAAAGTGCTCATCACTAATACCACTCTGAAAATGGTGACAGGTTGAGAAACTATGCATTAGGCTTCTATAACTGTGGGAAAAAATGTGGTGTGAATGGAGTGGATGCCAAGTCACTGTTGGCAGACATGTAGTCATAATTTTGACTATATTTAAATCATCTTCTGGAAGTAAGTTCTGATATCTGCAGTGTAGGCTGCATGGCCATCTGTCAGGAACTCTAGCTCTGATTCCTGAATTGCAGAGGGTTGGACTAGATGACCGCTGGGCAGATCTGTAGCTAGGTGATCTTGCACCCCTGGCAGTACCGTCCAGATTGCGCCCCTTAGCAACTGACAAATGAGCTCTTCTTTCCACCTCTCCTCCAACCCCCCTCCACCCATTCAATTCCTCACACACTAATCACTATTTTTATTTATAGACATATTTATGGACATATAAGCTGATTTTGCACACACCCTTGCCTGCACCCCTGGCGGGGGCCTTCCTCGCTACCCCCTAGCTACTAGCCCTACAATTCTATGAATCTTCTCATTGACTTAGAACAACTAACTTAGGTGTTCATCTTAAGCTATTCTGAAACAGGAGGAGGAAGGGAAGGGAAGTAGGACCATGCTATAGGCCAGGCATGTCAAAGTCCATTGCAGGGGCCTTATCCAGCCCGCTGGTCGATTTAATCCTGCCCCCAAAGCAGTATATGTCCTGGGGTAAAATTGTAAAAAATGCTCAGCTACTTCAATCCTAAAAAAAATTCAACAATCTTGGGGTAAAATTGTAAAAAGAGCTCAACAGCTTTGGTCGGCCCTTACGCATGTTCACTTCATCAAATCTGGCCCTCTTTGAAAAAAGTTTGGGCACCCCTGCTATAGGCCCTGCTGGAAAACCAGCAACTTTTGTCTCCTCTTCTCCTGGAATGGTCTTTCCATTTCAACTGGCTCATATAAAAACCTTGGTGACTATTGCCTGATCATTCTCCCCATCATCCCTTCCCATCCCCTTACCTTTTTGTGTGATGTCTTTTAAGCCTGAAGGCAGGCTTATCACTAAACTTGTTAAGCCACTTTTTTTGAGGGGGGACAAGGTTCTTTACTGGGGTAAAAATCCTCCAGATAAATAATTACGGGAGAATAATAATTGTTCTAAAAAGCAAACGATTCTTTATTCATTTTCACGAGATGCACTGTGTTGTAACCAGCATCATCTGATGTGAGGCTTTCAGAGCAGGGGCTGGTCTGCACTGGTGCTGGTAGGGCAGAAAGCAGGAAGGCAAACAGTATGTGGAGTCATAGCAAATGGCATAGGGAGCCTCTTTTCCTTCTCCAGTTCTACAGAAGCAATGCTGAGTCTAAGGGGGAGGAAGTGCCAGGCAGGGCCACCCGCTGCCCTGGTTTTAAGAAATCGGGTAGGTGGGCACTTGATGGAGGCAGTGCTACATTCGCCCTAACGGACTGGCCTCCAGGGTGCTTTTAGCTCTCCTCTCTACACGCAACAAGGAATGCTTCTTTTAAAATGGGACTCGTCATCTGCAGCTTTTACAAACATTTATAAATGATTAAATTAAAAAACAACAACACATTTAAACTTCTGCTGCCCAATTAGCTGGAGGAGAAACATTTTTGGTCTGTCAAAAAGTTTTAAGAGTGATTAATCTATTCTATTAAAACACTAAATGATGCAGCCCTATTAAGAAACGTTACACAAATAATCTGTTTATAAAAAGGACAGCTCCCAGGGTTCCATCACTGTCTAGGGCAAGGGTGGAGGATATTTTTGGCCCAGAAAGCCAGATCCCAGTGCTATCATCAGCACTGATTTTGGGCAACATCGTGCTGATTTTGGGTGAGATCTTGCCTCAAATAAGTTTAAGATCTTGTACCCAATTTCAGGTGAGCTCTCACCCAAAATGGACACAGTCCATTTTGGTGCTTCTCCACCACTGGTGGAGGCAACAGGGCATCTGTAAGTTTGCCGCCTGCAGGGCTTCTGCCACCTGAAGCAGTGGCCTCACCCTGCCTAATGGCTGGGCCGGTTCTGGCTCATGTCCTCTTTGCGGGCTTCATTGACATCTGATTGGCCACTGTGAGAACAGGATGCTAGACTGGATCCAGAAGGCCTCTTCTTCTATGTTCTTATCTCGAACAAGCTGAACTATCATAGAAAATGCAAACTTAAGCCAACAAATCACCCCACCTTGCCGTATCATTGTTGCTCCTTCTACAAGGTGGCACCATGAAATATATGATTAGAGGATGTACCACAGGTATATTTTCCAACCCACAATGGGCAATTTCAGTTCTAAAATAATCTCCTTTGTCCTCTGCTTGCTCACCTATCTATTTACTTGTCACACCTCTACCAAGTAGGAATGTGCTGTAAAAATGACCTTTGCAGGTGTTCTGGCACCCTCAACCCATCATTGTACCTTTGCATCGTCTAGCAACCAAACGCCAGAGAATGCCTGCTGCATGTCAAACGTGGCTTAAAATAACTAGGATTAATTAGGGGTTTTCATCATATCTGAATGTGTGCCCTCATTGAAGCAGGTCAATATTTAGCCTTTGCTTCCCAAGGAAACCTTTTGCAGATTACTGACAAGGTCAGAATTGCTAAGTGATGAGTGACCTATGTTAACAAACTCTCCCTGAGATGACAGAAACTGGGTTTTGCTGCAACTTCCTGCAAAAGCTACCTGTGTTATACCTTTAAAGAGTACTTTGAAAATGGAACTTTATTCAATGTTACCATATAACAAAAATGTTTTGCCTCCTCCTTGAGAGGTGCGGAGGGTGGCAACACGAGAACGGCCTTCTCTGCAGTGGCTCCCCATCTGTGGAATGCTCTCCCCAGGGAAGTTTGCCTGGCGTCTTCATTACTCACGCTTAGGCACCAGACAAAAATGTTCCTTTTAAACCAGGCCTTTGGTCAATCCTATACCCTTTTAAATATGGCTCTTTTCTAGGTGGGGGTTGGGGTGGGTGTTATTGGGTTGTTGTTTTTATTTTGATTACATATGTTAATAATAATAATAATAATAATAAGAATAAGAATAAGAATAAGAATAAGAATAAGAATAAGAATAAGAATAAGAATATCTTTATTGTCATTGCCCCCTCTCGGGGACAACGAAATGTTGTGTTCTTTTCTGTGAACCGCCCTGAGACCTCCGGGTATAGGTTGGTATATAAACTCAATAAACGACGATGATGATGATGATGATGTATTTCAGTAATAAGAAAAGGCATGGGGCATCCATTTGGAATGCTGAGGAAGAGATCTGGACAAGATTGTGTTCTTCTAAGCTTCCTCTGTCCCTAAAAGCTTTTCCATTTTTGTTTTCTTCACAATTGGAATGGGATGGTTCATTGTGCCCTTACAATAGTATGATAGGTTATGCTATGACTGCTGTGGAGAACCATATAAGTGAGGTCTTCTCTATACCTCTAGGTGGCACCATAGAACTTTTCTCATATGCGCTGTCTCTTTCTCCTGCAAACTCAAGAGTGAGACTGGGACCTCCTGGATGGCTATCTCATGAGATATTAAAGCATCGTCTTTACCACCACAATTCCTCATAAAGATTGCTTCACAAAAAAGATTTCTCATAAGTCATCAATTCAGAAATTTCAACCAGATGCTACTATCACACCAGCGTGATAAACAAACCTTGAAGATGACCAATCAAGAATAAAATAGCGATTCCATAGACATTTTCCCTTCTCCTCTTGGGGGTGAATATTAGGAGCAAATGTCTAGTAAAAGGAACATGGAAACTGATACAGCAGCTTTATTGTCCAGACTCTTCACACTCATCTCATTAACTTCACAACTCCTTAAATGTTTCTGCATGTGTGACTCAAAATTGCCTTTGGCCTAAATGGGTTTTGTAATGCAAATGGACAACCTATGCTGAGGCTAATCTACATTTTATTTCTCTTCTGTGTGCTATACCATATTAACCAGATGCACATGTAACACACAAAATGCAAGAGAGACTCAAAGGCACATCTAACTTCCATGTGTGATAACTTCTTGAGAAGAGTGCTGTTTACTGTGCTTGGCTGCCAGAATGAGACGTGCTAGATCTCAGATCTTCCCCACCCCTTGTCTCTAACCTTGGAACCCTTCCCTGGTTTATGGAGGCAAGTTTTGAAAATTCAGGGATAAAGAAAATGGGGCTTTGGACACATTCATTATTTTCAGTCTTCCAAGCATGGTGTTGAAACCAAGTTAAAGTTCCAAAAACACACACTCTATAATGGCAGACCTGAAGCATTTTGATCATAAAAATTATCCTAAGCAGTAGCCATTGGACTGCATCAACTCTGGGGCTTTGGTTATCCAACTTTTCTGGGATGTGAGAGTAGGTGTATGAATGTGCAGACAAACAACAACAACATTATTTGCTTGCATTATGTATGATCATGTTCAGACTGCAATCTGTACTATGCGAATAAGGTAGGAGGCAAAGTTTTCCACAAGCAGCTTAAAAT